CTTGAAAACTTTAAAACCAGGACTCGAAGCACAGTGTCTGTCCGGCAAGGCCAAGGGATGGTGCTCCTGTGCGGTCCCCCACCCCACGCTGGAGGTAAGCATGTGCATTGGCATACACACGCTTCATTGACTGCTGTTATCTTGCTGAATGTTCTCCCTCTTGGCACCAATTGAGGGGACAGTGTCATTTGTAGAGATACCCAAGGCCCTTCTGAGCAGGGTGAGAATCGTTATGGCTACCTTCATAATTAGGACAGGAAAATATCAGATTGTGCAAATGTTCCACTCCACTGCTTTCTGCCGGGCACAAGGGGAAAAGCACCTGAATCCATCGAAATCAGAATTCAGAAGCTTCATGCGGCAATATAGTTAAACCCACTGCCATTGAGTCAGTCCAACTCAGAGTATACGGAAGAGAGCAGCACTGCTCCTTGCTAATGCTTACAACTTTATTGGGTTAAAAATGACCCACCAAATTTCTACATGAGGTGATAAAAAGTTTTGGGATATATGCTAGTAATGTTTGTGGTATATTGTGCCTGTAATTAATGCCAATGAAATATACAGCGAAAGTGGTTAAAGGGGCAAATTCCATACTATGCAAGAAAGCTTCAACAAGTTTGTGGGGAAACTGGAGTTATAACCTAATGAAATTTGTCCATGACCTTCCCTTGTATTTTTTCACAATTGAGGAGGATGGAAGGTAGGAAGGAAGAAGGAAGGAAGGAAGGAAGGAAGGAAGGAAGGAAGGAAGGAAGGAAGGAAGATACTGATACTGTCCTGCTTAATCTCATTTTGCTGTTGGTGTTGTTGCTCTGAGAAAAGGATCAGACCCAGAACCATCATCCCTTCACCATAGAATCCAAGGCCACTTTGTCAAAACTCTTATAGCAAAATCACTTAGAAACATATTTGCCTGCAAACAACATACAACCCAGATAAACCTGCTTAGGCACAAAGGACTTGATTGTCTTGACGTGTGCTCTAACTTTCCAAAGGTGAGCAGTATCAAGTTGGCAATAGCTTCTTGAGATGTCTTCTGTGACCCGAGCTTTTTTTGAATACTTCTGTGGGCCCTTAGCATGTGGCATGGCTAGGGCATTGTCAGCACTCCAGACAGGAAGAAATGTTAAGACACAGGATAAAAGGCTCAAGTCTTTGTGCTTTTCAATTTGCTTTTATGTTGTGAAGGTTTTGCTTTGCCTGAGGAGTTCTGCCGACATTCCATTGAACATTCTGAGTTGCAGGAGAGAATGAAAACTCAAGTATTTTAAAGCAGATACATCATGGCTCTCAAAGGAAATTATAGCTGTGGGAATAAGGTGAATGTGAAGAGATGTTATGCAGGCAACTACCAGTATCTGCTAAAAGGAATAACAATCTCTTGATTAAAAGGACAACTGCATAAAATAGGTTCAATCATGTGCAGGTTGATGTTGCTGTTAGCTGCCAGCAAGTCCATTCCTTTATCGTGGCAACCCAGTTCACAACAGAAGGCAACACAGCCACACCTGTACCAACTCCATGGATGGTCACAAATCAGACAGGGTAGAAGTGCTCCTGTGGGTTTGTAAGACTGTAAATCTTTATGGGAATAGAAAACCTCCTCTTTCTTATGAGAAATGTCTGGTGGTTTTTTTGCTGACTTTATGGTTAGTAGCCCAACTAAAAAGCCAAATCCAAACCCATCATCATTAAACTGATTTGGAGTCATCCTGAATATAGATATATATTTTGCACAAATATACATGGCTTCTGAGTCTATAAAGACACAGTCAACCACATCTTCCTTCCCAAGAGTGCCTGTGAGGTTGAACCATTGGCCTTTTGGTTCGCAGCCCAATGCTTACCACACAGTGCCCCAGGGCTCTTAGAGGTTTAACAACAAATCACTAATATTGCCTATGTATACTCACAGATTTAAGAGGTAGTTATATTTATTAAGACTACTAAGTTTTTATGATGAAAAAGTTGAACGGTTCTCCTCTTGGAAATCTATGCTCATATTTAGTTTCACATCTTCTATCCTCATTATTAATTTCATTTTTTTCTCATTGGTTTACGTGAGTGAAAAAGCCAACTTTTTAAAAATCTATAATTCAAAAATATCCATTTTTATTTGCTCAATAATATGAAGTTGTAATCTTTATCTAATACCCAATTTAGAATTTCTGGAAGGAAATAATAATTAGCCAATTAGCTACAAGATGACCATAAAGGTGGGATAGGAGAGGCAGGTGCTTCTGCAGCAGTGGCTCAAAGACATGACATTGTTAGAATTCTAGCTCCTGTTTATAGTCATCTGCTAACATGTTCAGTTCTTTAACTGAAAGACTGGAGGTTCAGGTCTACTCAGAGGCATCTTGTAAGAAAAGCCTTGGGATCCACCCTTGAAAAATCATCCATTGAAACCCTATGGAGCCCAGTTCTATAGATCTCCATTGGTTGGCCGTGAGTCAAAATTGACTCATGGGCAAATGGTTTCTACTCATCTAGTTTCTAAAGACTAGGAGATAAATCATGTTTTATTTCAAGAAGTTGTATATTGGGAAGTGGGGTTCTTATTTGCAAATTCATTTTTCTCTAGAGGCTGTATCAGGTGCACAGATTTGAAATGCTGAATGAGAGCTCCAGTTCTGGATTTTTACATCCAATTTTAGATTGGGAAATACCTTCAAATTCTCTATGCCTCTCTACATATCTATAAAGTGAGAACATCTTTTAAAAACTCCCTTAAATACCCTTTACTTCCATCATTATATAATTTTTACTCTACAAAACCTAAAGACCTTCCTATCAAATATGTTTGCATTTTGAAGGTTTGTTCCTTTACACAAGTAAATCCCTTAACAATGGAAATATATTTATTTAATTAAAAAATACTTTTATTTGAGGCTCTTACATCTCTTATCACAATCCATACACTCATCCAGTGTGTCAAGCATATTTGCACATGTGTTGCCATCATCATTTTCAAAGTATTCTCTTCCCACTTGAGCCCCTG